TCGCCTTGGCCCCCAAGTTAACAGTCCGATCCTTGCCAGTCATATCATCCTTGACAATAACCAAATTCAACCCCGCCTCGCCATCGCCACCGCCCTCCATACCATACGGCCGCCGGCTCCGGCGCTCGCTCAGAATAGAGCACTGCACTGGCACCCGGAACTCAATCTCGCGAATCGTCCCGTCGCCGCCCCTGTTCTTGCCCTTACCGCCCGACCCGCTGCGCAGCTGGAAGCGCCGCAGGATACACGGATACCGCTTCTCAAAGACCTCGGGATCCGTGATGCGCGTGTTGGTCATGTGCGTGTGCACGCCGCTTTGACCCACCCACGTCGGGCCCGCGCCGGCGCCGCCGGCAATGGTCTCATAATACCCGAAGCCGTCCTTGTGCTCGCCCGTGACGGGGTCCTTCCCGCCCGTGCCAAAAGTGAGGTTGTTGCAGCAGCCCTGGCTGGCGGCGGAGGCGCGGAACGCCTTGAGGACCACGTCGGTGATGCGTTGAGAGGTGAGGACGTTGCCGCCGACGACGGCGAGGCCGGCGCCAGGGTTGAGGATGCTGTCCTTGGGAATTACGATGTCGATGGGGGCCAGACAGCCCTGGTTGAGGGGGATCTGGGAGGAGATGAGACCGCGTAGGCAGTAGATGATGGCTGAGTGCGTGATGGCGATGGGCGCATTGGTGTTGCCGAGGACGTGCGGGCCGGTGCCGGTGAAGTCGAATGTCGCGGAGCCGTCTTCGGGCGAGATGGTGATTTTGAGGCAGATGGGCGTGCCATCATCCATGTAATCGACCGCGACAAGGGGCTCGGAGCCGAACTTGGCGACAGTGGACTGCATCAGCTCGCGCACGGCGTGCTCGGCTGTGTGCTGGATGGCGTACATGTACCGGTGCACTGTGGCAAGGCCGTTTTCTGTGATGAGGGCCTTGATGAGTGAGATGCCCTTTGCGTTGGCGGCGATTTGCGCGTTGAGATCGGAGAGGTTATCCTGCAGTCTACGGGTGCCGGAGCAGCCGTCGTACTGAGCGGGCTCCTCAAGAAGCAGACGGCGGACCTCGGCCTCGTTGAAGCGACCCTCGCTGACGAGCTTCGTCGACTCGATGGCCGCACCCTCCTGCCAGAGGGCGTAGGAGGTCGGCGGCATAGATCCGGGGAGAATACCGCCGATGTCGGCGTGGTGGCCTCGCGAGGCGACATAGAAGGCTAGTTCCGGGCCGTCAAAGACGGGGGTGATGACTGTGATGTCGGGCAAGTGCGTACCACCGCAGGACGGGTGGTTAGAGACGAGAACATCGCCGTCCTTGAGCTTGCCAGCCCATAGCTCGTGCTGGTAGCGGACAGCAAACTGCATGGATCCTAGGTGGACAGGCACGTGGGGGGCGTTTGCGACGAGGCCGCCATCAGGGCTGAAGATGGCGCAGGAGAAGTCGAGGCGTTCCTTGATGTTGGTGGAGACGGCCGTCTTCTGAAGGGTGCGGCCCATTTGCTCGGCAATGGACATGAAGCGGTGGCCAAAGACGGTGAGCTGGACGGGGCTGAACTCTTCCTGCTCGCCGTTCGTCTTGGCAACCTTCTCAACAGGTGCGCGATCGATGACGACGTAGCTCTCGAGGACTGTTGCTGTGGTGGACGGCGTGACAAGAATGGTCTGGGTGTTGTCAATGATCAAGGCCGGGCCAGAGATACGGGCACCGACGGGTATGGTCTGGAGCTGGTAAACAGCAGTATCGAGGTGGCCGTGACCCTCAAAGTAGACGCTGTTGGTGCCGCTGGGCTGGGGAGTTGAGACCGCGGAACCCTCGACGGACTTCATCTGGGCAAACGGGCTCTTCTCAACCTTGGACCGAGCCGCGCCAGTAGCGCGAACACGAATGTCGTCGACCATGATGGACTTCTCGGGGAAGTGGAATCCGAAGCCCCGGCGATGAGCATCTTCGAATTCCGTCTTGAAATCCCAGTCTGCGCCCTTCAGGATCATCAGCGAGCTGCTGGATCCAGCATATCTCATGTTGAGGTAGGTGTCGTGAGTGATGAGATCTTTGGTGAAGCCCTGCTTCATTAACTCCAGAGTGGCCTGGGAAGACAACTCCTCGAGCTGCTCCTGGATGCTGCCCTTGGTTTCGTCAGAATAGGTGATGGCAGAAGGCTTCTGAATTTCGTGGACAACGTCTGCAAGCGACATGCCGTATGCTGAGAGGATGGATGAGTACTTGTGGATAATGACGCGAGAGATTCCCAGCACCGTGGCGACGGAGCACGCGTGTTGACCGCCAGCACCACCGAAGCAAGCCAAGTGATGTGCGCCAGCCTCGTAGCCGCGAGCTTCCGTCAATGCGCGAATTGGGCTCGCCATGCCCTCGTCGGCAACCTTGAGGAAGCCGAGAGCGACTTCCTCGGGGGAAAGCAGAGAAAGACCAGAGGCCTCTCTGTCCTTGTTGATCTCGCTCGTCAGCTCTAGGAACTTGGCGGCTGTGACTTCTCGGTTCAACGGCTCGTTTTCCTTGGGGCCGAAGACCTTGGGGAAGTACTCCGGCAACAGCCTGCCCAGGAACAAATTCGCGTCCGTCACAGTCAACGGGCCGCCCTTGCGATAGCATGCTGGGCCAGGGTGTGCAGAAGCGGACTCAGGGCCAACATTGAAGAGGCCGTTCTTCCAGGTCAGGATAGAGCCACCTCCAGCAGCGACGGTGTGAATATCGAGCTGAGGGGACTGGATGGCGATACCGGCGGTAGTGGTCTCGAAGACATGGTCATAGACACCGGCGTAGCGGGACACATCTGTCGAGGTACCGCCCATGTCGAAGCCAATAACAGGCTGGCGCTCCTCGTCATCCCAAGAAGTTTGGGCGTAACCAACAACACCGCCGGCGGGTCCGGAAAGAATCGCCTTGAGACCGCTAAACTTGCGGTAGTCGACGAGGCCACCGTCCGACTGCATAAACTCGATGCGCGTCGCGGCCGCACCAAATCCGCCCTTGAAGTTAGCTGAGATAGAGTCAATGTACTGCCGAATGACGGGCGTGAGGTAAGCGTCAGCCACAGCAGACATGCCACGGGGCACGACGTTGATCATAGGCTGAACTTCGGAAGACAGTGTGACGGAGAAGCCCATCTCAGAGGCGACCCTGCCAACCAGGAGCTCGTGGTCTGGGTAGGCGTAAGAGTGGACAAAGACAACGGCGATGGACCGATAGCCCTGTTCTCTGACCTTTTCGAGCTGCGTCTTGATTTCTTCCAGATCTGGCCTCTTGAGGACGCGGACGGTCTCGCCGGTGACGGCCGTGACGAGCTCAGGATCATCGGACGTCGGACTCGTCTTGATAGAGGCGGGATCCTCGGTGTAGTCCTCCATTGTGATGCGCTCATCGACTTCGACGACCTCATCAAAGAGGACCTCTGGCCGTGCAACTGAGAGGTCGAAAATGTTTGGCCGTGACTGGTTGCCAATCGCCAACAGGTCACGGAAGCCCTTTGTTGTGATGAGGGCCACGCGCTCGCCTTTTCGCTCAAGAAGGGCATTCGTGGCTACTGTCGTGCCCATGCGAATGGACTCGACGTGGAAGAGGTCGAGCAGTTGTCCTCTAGGTAATGTCTCACCGGTCACCATCTCCAGAATCCGCCGGATGCCTTCTGTTGGGGCATCTTGGTAGTTGGCGGGGTCGACAGAGAGGAGCTTGAGGATGATGTCTCCCCTGCCGGGTATGGCGGCGTGAACATCGGTGAACGTACCACCTCTGTCGATGGAGATGCGAATGCGATGTGACTTGACCGTCATGGTGATGTGTGAATGTGGTGCTTGCTGCTTGCTGCTTGTGAGAAGGCTCGTCAAGAAGACGAGTCGGTAAAAGAAGTTTATTTGGAGTATAGCAGTGATTCAAGCAAGACAGCACTGGGTAATATTTGACGTGAGACAATATGTCGGTGATAGAAATGTGACGATGATGGCATGGGTAAATGTTTATATTGAGAATATCTTCGCCCTGCCTCTGTCGTGATCATGTAACAATTTGCCGCTACTCAGATCGGGAAATGGGGCTCGGCAGGAGGCCGCGATCGGGTATCCGCTTACCTGGAAGTCACATATTTGCTAATACGCTTTCCGATGAGGCCATCCGGTCAAACTCAGAGAGTAAGCTTTACCTGGCCGGCGGCTGATACCAGGCCGAATCGCAGGCTTCTCAGATGCCATAGCCATATCGGCCTTTGGCCGGACGTCGCCATCGCAGTTGACCACCGCTGAAGAGTGAAATAAGACTCCTAACTGGTCGATGAGTCGGAGTGGGTCCCCGATCAGCCTTTCAGCAAATCGAAGTGCGGCCTTTGCCCGATACTTGATAAGGCATGATGATGGAAATCGGAGTCAAATTGCGAGTTGGTGTTGAAAGTGGGAAAACGCAATTGTGGAGTTTGTGGCCGGCAGACGCCCGCGTGTAGCCGTCGGAGTGGGTCCCCGACGATAGCAGCGTATTCCCCTGGCCTCATTGGTCAAACTAGGAAGCCATCGGATTATCTAGGGGCCGACGTCATCCGATCTCTGAGCTGGTACGTACCGAGGTCCGAAAGGGGAAAGGCTCCATCATCGGCAAAAGGACCGCCGTCACTCGTAACGCGAACTTGTCAACAGCTTTCTCACCCCTCCAGCAATAACCACGGCTGTGGGGAAATCTCCATAAACACCGATCCTCCAGCCCGAACCAAGACCACGATGCATGTTGGTCCTCCAGCTCCAGGTGGTTTTGCGCCGATAAATCCCCTCCGCAAGCAGGGTGCATGGCCAGGAAACTTCCACACCTTGCGTTCCCCGCGTTGAGCCTTGACAAACATCTCCATCCAAAGAATTTCCATTTGTCACAAGCTCCGTCTTGAGAACCTGGGGAAGTGGACGATATCAACGGATAACTGCATCTCCCGTGCCATGGCAAGGGGCTCGACCATCCCCACCTCTTCCAAGTGACTCCGTGAGAGATATGTCACATCGGCATTACCAAAATACATGTCAGAATATGGCTCCCATTGCACCATCTCCGCCTCAAGCAGGGCCTTCATCATCCCTATGTGAAGTCGGAAACTCGAGGCCTGTGGCGTAAGTTCCGTGAAATTCTCCATCCTCATCGTATGGGCTTCCTAGAAGTGTTGCTGAGCTTTCAGAATAGATGTGCCAATTGCCGACAAAGACGATCCTACTGCTCGAAAGAGAAGCCTACCTGTTCACGATGTCGTGACAGCGGCCTGAACTGTACGTATGAGACGAGTGTCAAGATCACCGTCACAGAGGCGTCAGTTCAATAATTAGTCTCCAACTCGTGAGATATGCAACTAATGCTATGATAGCTATCTACGAGAACTCGAAGCTAAGGCTAAAGCGTATGATGGTGAGTGACTAGCATTAATCATTTCAGTCACATACTGATCGAGTTCTAGACTCGCTTCTTCGGCAGTCTCAGCTACCAGCTCCGATCCCTGGAAAAGCGCCTGCCCACCGCATCTCAGCCGAAGAGCACGAGGAAGGATTTGAAGATGAACATCCCTTGCTCGAGCCGTTCAATCAGATGAGCGTTCACAAGCCCTCGACAAGCTTCAAGGGCCCTGGTAATTCGGACAATTTTCTACGTAGTGTGAGAAACCTTTCAGGTTTCTACGGCGACGACGGGAGCCTGGACGCCAACACAAACTTTTACGAGCCAAGTGCCCTACCTTCAAGACGTGAAAAAGCGAGGACGCAAGTTCGACTCCCGCCTATAGACATTGCCCGACGACTATTTGCCGCACAGTATACCTATATTGGGACGATATTCGCCTTCACGGATCCTAAAGCCAGCTTCGATCACTTGCTCATCGAGGCGTATCGAGGTCCTCCTGATCCCTCTGACAGAGAAGCATGTTTGTCATACGCAAAGGTCCTCATCATTTTGGCTTTCGGTCAACTCTACTCTGTCAACCAATGGGTCGATTTCAGGGGTCCGCCAGGGTTCGACTACTTCACGCATGCCTTGAACCTATTACCCGATACCCATGAAGAAGGATCGTTGTTGTGCGTGGAAACACTGGCCCTCATCGGGTATTTCATGCAGAACATGAACCGTCGTGATGCTGCGTTCTTGTATACCGGTATGGCTCTTCGCATGGCCATCTCGCTTGGGCTGCATCATGAAGTCGGATTTAGTGCGGCACCACATGCTTTGCAGGGTCAGGATAACAACCCGACCGCCTTGGATAATGCGACACGCGAACATCGTCGCCGAGTTTGGTGGTCTGTGTATAGTCTAGATCGCATCCTATCGGTCAAATCGGGAAATCCCATCACCATCCAAGACGAGGATATCGGCGTCGACCTGCCTTCGAGACTCCAGACGGAAGCAGAATATTGCCCAGCAGTGGTGCTTCGGCATTATACCGAGCTCTCAAAAATCCTCGGTGAAATCCACAACGCCATCTATCGTAAGACCAGCAAGACAGCGCCTAAATCTGGAAAACGCTTAATGGCATCGGTTCAGAGCATCGTTCTCAGCCTGTCTAAGTGGAACAGCAACTTACCAGATGAGCTTCGGTTTGACCCTGCTCGGCTTAGCATTAGCCGCGAGAGCGTCAGCACCTTTGCGCATTACTATCAGTGCATCAACATGACTGCGCGGCCCTTGCTCTTCCACGTTGTACAGAAGCGACTCCAAAAGATCCGCGCCAGCAGCGATGCAGGAGAGAAAGAGCGAGGCTGGAAAGAGGGCTTGTCCCAAACGACTGTCAGGGTTATCGACATGTGCATCGGTGCGGCGCAGGACACTATCAACATCATGACCGTAGCTGCACAGAGAGATCTTGTTGGTAAGTGCGGTTACACAACCTTTGCCCGATACCCGCTTCCTTTCATTGGCTGACCGCAAACGACCGTCCCAGCAACATATGGATACATGGACGGAGAACATGTCTTCTCAGCATCCATCGTTCTCGTCATGGTTTGCGTCGCCTTCCCGACAGACCCGTCCAGCATCATGGCGATGAACGCCGGTCTCGATCTCCTCCGAGGCATGGGCGAGCGAGGCAACAGCTACATGGGCGCCCGCTACGAGCTCCTCGCCAACCTTCGCTCGGCCGTCATGTCCGGGACAAACGCCCACGCCGAACCTCTGCCTCCGTTCCCGACAAGCTTCTCGACGACGGAATCGCTAGTGCTGGCAGGAGCAGGAGGAGGGCTTCTTCCAAGTACACAGCCGACTAGTAGCAGTAGTGTAATTCCCATGACTATGGGCGACACTCAAGGAGGAGGCCACATGGCGATGCAAGGCGTGACGGGTCAGCAGCGGGTGACGTTTCCCGTCGTCGACAACAGCTCCCTAGGTGAACCCTTTTTCGATGAGAGCGTGAGCACGGTGATGGACTTTGGGCTCTGGGAAGAAGGCTTTGCCGACCCGGCGATGGACGCGAGCTTTGACTTTTCGCAATGGACTCACGCGGCTGGCATGACTCAGGCTGATGATAGGATGGACGTGTGAAGGAAACAGATGGTATCTACATGTATATCTTAAGGTACTATTATGATTTGACGATAATGCGAAGCTTTTCATCCTTTCACTTGGGCTACGATAATCTGTCCATGACCCGAGTCTTTGTTTGTGGATACCGGCTTATCTTGCTCTAACCACGGAATCTGCCCATTTGGCGGCTTGTCTGAAGGGGATCTGCAGGGCTGCCAGGGGGGAGGGGCTGATATGTATCAAGGGATCAAACTCAAATGGGTTAAATCCCGAAAGCTTCGGACAAGGCGCCCGGAGGCATCATCCTGACATCACGCCCGGTGGCTGGGCAAGCTAACTTTAGACAGCGTAGACTCGACGCCAATGGCCTGGTTAGAGTCAAGAAAACCCATCAACCGACACTGGACAACCCAAGCCATTATGGACAATCGTTATTCGTTACCGAACCGTTCCCCAAGTCCCAAACTCTGTTCAAATGCGTTCCATTCCAAAGGTTCCCTATAGGCCATTCGAATCCATCCTGGAGACTAGTTCGATAGGGGCGCCACTCCGACGCCGGGGGCCGGGTGGATACGAGCAGCTATCAGCGCTATCAGAATTGTCGGTGGGGAAAGATGTGGGAAGTCCCAAGTTCCCCCGCAAGTATCAGGGGTCGGCGAGGACCTCCGATCTTCTTGGTTGGCCGTGGACAAGTTCGCGGTAGATGCTTTAGGTTATCCGAACGGAGTAGTAAGGGACCAAATGCTAGTCAAGGTCTCTTAGGAGTGACTCTCCGCGCGTGTCTCTCTCTAACCCCCGCGATGCTACCCTTGATACCGCGTCAATCCATATGTCCGTGCCTGCAAATGGATGGCTCGGCAAGAGATAGCGCGCCCGAGTAATTGTCGCTGACCATTCCCTTGGTGTTTGTGTTATCCGTCTGTCCATATCGTTCCATTATCGTCAATGGCACATCACGCACAGGTTGGCACAATCATAAAGGCGGTCTGCCCCATCGACTGTTTCTAGATTAAAGAGATCAACTCCTCACCACCTTTGTCAATCCCGAGACTTCGGTAGCGAATCTCCATTGCCATTGAACCCCGACTACTGCAGAATTCAAACTACCGGTCTGCTTGGGATTCTATCTAGGCTACAAGTTCGCATCCAGAAGCCAGTTCAGCCATGGCGACCATCTCCACCCCAGACGACGTCTCCGGCGCCGGCGCGGAGAAGGGTCTCGGCAGCGACATTGATCGCTCTGAATCCAACAATGGCACAATGGCAATCGAGTCCCTTGATCCCGCGGCCGAGAAGAAGCTTCTCTTGAAGGTTAGTAAATTGCCTAGTCTTAAAATCCGTGCCATACCTTTATAGCGAGCTGACGCAATGACACTCCAATTCAGCTCGACGCCTACTTCGTCCCAATCATCATGGTCGTCTACCTAACCTGCTTCCTCGACCGCACAAACATCGGCAACGTCCGCGTCGCCGGCATGCCCGAGGACATCGGCGCCACAACCCAAGAATTCTCGACCGCAATCTCCATCTTCTATGCAACCTACGTCGTCTTCGAGCCCCCATGGACAATCATGATGAAGCGCATCACCCCACGCGTCCTCCTCACCGGCCTCTGCATCATCTGGTCCCTCTCCACCGTCTTCTCGGGCTTCATCCACAGCATCGGCGGCCTCTACGCCGTCCGCCTTGTCCTCGGCATGTGCGAGGCCGGCTTGTTCCCCGCGCTGAATCTGTATCTTACTATGGTGTACAAGCGCGACGAGCAGGCTAAGAGGGTTTCGTATCTGTTTGTGTGCTCTGCTATTGCGGGCGCGTTTGGTGGGTTGTTGGCGTATGCGCTGTTGAAGATGGATGGGGTGGCTGGGTATGCTGGCTGGCGATGGGTGTTTATTATTGAGGGTGTTGTGAGCATCTTGATTGCTCCGATTTTGTGGTTCGGTCTGCCGAATGATCCTTCGAATGCGTACTTCCTTTCCGACGAGGAGAAGCGCATGATGAAGATTCGGGCTGCGCAGCGTGCTCAGTACATGGGCAGTGATGAGTTCAGCTGGGAGGAGATTAAGATTGAACTTCGCGATCCCAAGCTTTACCTCAGGTGCGTTCAAACACCACCAAGGAGACATCTACCCCTGTCTTTTCTCGATAGAAGACTAACATTAGTGCAACAGCGGTGCCATCCAATTCTGTCAAGACATCCTCCTCTACGGCTTCAGCACATTCCTCCCTTCCATCATCGTTTCCATGGGCCGCACGAGCATCGAAGCCCAATACCTCAGCATTCCCGTCTTCCTCTTCGGCGCCATCGCCTTCCTGGCGACAGCCTACATCTCGGATCGCATCCTCGTCCGCGGCCCGCTCATCTTCCTTGCCAACATCCCAGGCATCATCGGCTATATCCTCATCATCTGCCCGACAAGCAGCGGCGTCAAATTCTTCGGTACCTTCCTCTGCGCCATTGCCGTCTACAACGGCCCCGGTCTCAACCTGACGTGGCTCAACGTCAATGTCGCGCCGCAGTACCGCCGTGCTACGGCAATTGGTATGCAGCAGGCCATTGGCAACTGTGCGGGTATCGTTGCCGGTCAGATTTACCGCAAGGCGCCGTATTTGCTTGGTAACGCGTTCTCTGTCGGTGCGCTGGGTGTTGCGCAGCTTTTGGTTGTTGGAAAGTGGTTCTATATCCGCCACTGCAATGAGATGAAGAGGAAGATTGAGAGTGGCGAGATTGAGGATAAGAGGAAGGTTAAGACTGGTGATTGGGAATTGGATTTCAAGTATCACATGTAGGAGGAGATGCCGCTGTATCAGAAGTTTCTCGTCGGCTCTTCGAGCGCCGAGTACTAGCATTGAGATTTGGACAGACATAGAAGATAGATTTGAGAATATGACTGTAATTCTATGAGCTAACTTGCCACGAAGAACTCGCTGTGATGAAGCTGTCTCCCAGATACATTCTTAACGCCGTGATTGCTTCCATCACCTGCAAATGCCTACTACCTAAGTACATACAGTAATTATCTAACATCATCCATCTCCAGTATACACTCTTTTGGAAGCCACTTTCTGGCGTGATTACTCGTCGAAGGATGTGTAATCAAAACTTTGACAATCACGCCGTAGTTTCGTTGATTCAGCGCAGTGACAAGATTACTCAAGAACAACACAACATCCCCCAATCCTTGAACATGGCGGTTCACTTCGAGCCATAATGCTCCGTCTAAGATCACAAAGACAACCTTATCTGTTGCAGCCAAAACCAAATGACGTAAGAGCATGCAGAGCACGTCAAGTCGCTGTGCTCTGACACCGTCTATGAAGCTCAAGTTGATAGCCGAGAGATCGACGTCCCGCGGTGTGAAAGACTCTGCGATGAGAGAATTCCAACACCTCAGGACGCCGCTGGCGCCAGAGTAAGGGTCATTTGGGCGATTGTGCTGGCCGCAGAGATACACCAGCGGAATGCTGCGCTCGGATTGTCTGGCTACCAGCTGGGCGAGAGCACATGAGAGCATTGTTAGCGGAGATGCTGCTTCTTGCTCTGAGCTGAGCTTCATCCTTCCTTCGATGAAGAGTATCTGAGACTCGTTCGACTGGAGCCAAGAGGCAAACTTCTTGTCGCGGAGAGCCAGCATGGCGTGGCTGATCAGCTCTGGGGGGCAAACTTTCTGTGCATCAATCATAGACGTGACCATGTCTCTCTGATTTACTTTTGGATCGAATCCGATGCTAGAGCGAAGCTCATCAAGTGTTATAAACGCTTTTGCGACGAGCTTTTCTGCTTTCGGGTTGTCTGTTGTTTTTAGGTCGTCAAAAGCAATACTCATTGTCTACCTCGAACGGGCAGGGTACTAGGGCAAAGTATAAGGTAGTAGAGGAACAGACTGACCTCGAACCCAGTCGGCATACTTCAACTGGCTGTTCAGTTGCTCCTTTAGAGCCTTGAGTGATTTGTTGATGTGCTTATGTTGACTCATCAAGACGACATTCCGGAACTTGGCCACGTTGCCCTCGATATTTTCCTTAATAGTGTCTTCCTCCACATTCTTTCCAAACGTTGTCGGTCTCGTGAGTACCTTGAATGCTCTCTCTTTGAAAGTCAGATCATTACGCGGAAAATTTATGATGTAACTCGAAGCTTTGAAAGCGGTCCTTACCCAGGGCTGACTTATCAATCCATTGCAGCATACTCTCTACACCGTCGAGGATTCCCAGATACAAGTCTTCGGCTGCTTTCCAGACTCTAGGGTCATCGTCATAGATTTCGACATATTCTTCCGTCTCTTCTACGATGTCTGGCAGACTGTCCAGACAGTTTAATATCTTGTTTCGAACTTCGTCTAGGCGCTTTGCTGCCTGTTGTCGCAAAGGAAGTTATGAGCCACAAGACCAACGATATAGGAAACTTGTATCTTACACAGAAAACAAAGGTCAGAGCTCCGCAAAGTATTCCAGTAAAGTCACCGTTTGGCAGAAATGCTACAAGCATTTCCAGATTTGATGCATTTCGCTGGAAAGATCGCCCGGCCGCGCGAAAAGGATTGTGTCTCATTTTCGTTTTGGCATTGTCTTCCTCGACTGCCTCGGACGCCATGATTCTCACATCTTCCCATTGAAAATCTTTTTCCACGTCAAATCTCGCGAGATCTTTGCGATTGGTTTTCTGCGCGAAAGTACTTATCAATGTCTTGAATGATTTTGTACGTTCGTGAACTCTGAGAGCAAGCTTTCGCGTCAGTATCAATCCTGACAAACACACCAGCTTTGGAATACATTACGAACCCGAGGAATAGGGCCACTCACCTAAGAGATGCCTGTCTTTGACGCCTCTTTTCCGAAAATTTGTCCCGAGCTGAGACTTGCCAGCTCGGGTCCCGCTCACCGGCGTGAGTTTTCATGAAGGTGCCGACATAATCAGCCATGATTGTGTTCCGAAGGGATCCAACCTTTCCTAAAGGTTTCGAGGAAAGACGTAGTGGAAATCCTTTCTGCCTCTTCTTCGACTGCCGTTTCACCTGATGGTAAGGCTGCGGAAAAGGGGGGTAAGCGTAAGCGCTGGGATCAATACCAAGATGGGGGATGGCGGCGTGTCTTGGCGTCAGCATCCGGGAGTCGGCATGCGGACCTGCTGTGAGGGGTTGGAAAGAGTTGTATCGCTGCCAGGCTACAGCTTGCCTGCATAAGATTGATTCTAAAGGGTAACAAGGCGCTTATCGTTAAACATCTCATCATCAGGCTGACCAATAGTTGGCATAGCTGGCACCCCCCCTTGAAGTAGCCCGAACACTCTGTACGTGCCTGCCTCCGGCATTGAGGCTCCAGTTGATTGGCCTTTGATGCCTGTCATCCCAAACAGTAGACTTGATGAAAACTGCTCACTCCCAGGTTCTTTGCTACTTGGGGTTCTTTACCTTGCTCATTGCGACCCAGCCACACGCGAAACGTTATCGCTACTACTGCTTTACCCCAACCTCAATAGAGTTGCTAACCAGCCGACTTGATCTTTCTTCTGGGAGCGATAGCTCATTCCACCTCATGCTTCACGATTAATCAGGTCGAATGAGGCATACTCCCAAGTTCCCGACAGCTAGAGAACATGTCTTCGACGTTGGATGTGTCGATTCACCCCCTAGGGGCTGATTTTCCGCGGGCTACAACTTCTCATTACACCGAGGCGTCGAGTTTGATCTCACAGAAAGATTCCAATACAGAGACTGAAAGCAAGGAAACGATATCCTCTATACCTCTTGTAAGCACCGCCATGTAACGGACGTAACGATGCAGAATTTTCCATCCGATGACTAATGCTCAACAGCAAAAGTCAAGCCATCATGACGCCTCACAAGAAACTCTCAGCCAGCAAGACCCCGAGGAATTGCCGTCTGGTACAGAGCCAGAAGTCGATCCTATTCCCGATGATGTCTCAAGACCCGATATACCCGACAACGTCAGCGAGACCTCAGATGGAAGTCTTATGCCCCGAGACTTCAGACTGTTCCGCGGCGAAGGGAATTTTAAATTGGAGACAGTTGCGCGAGAGCTTCAAAGCATGTCTTTGCATCATCTTGATGCGTCAAGGACATACCATCCTAATAGCGCGGCAACCTACTTCGCCAACCATCTGAAGATGATGAACTGGATCTCTGAGGTGATCAAAGACAGTAATCGACCTCCTCTGGTACCTCCGAGTGAGGTGGAATATGAAGAGAGGAAGCGGTACCTTTCCGGGAAAATCGAGTGCAAATGGAGGGAGTGGATGGACTTACCTCAAGAGTACGCGATTGAGATCTTGATAGAGGAAGAGCCTCTAGACAGGGAATATTTTCGGAGCAGTCCCGATAGTCGGTCACATGCTAAACCCGTCATTCTACAACCCCGGGACAACGATATTAAAGTGATCCCTTCCAGGATGTCAATCAATTCTTTGGCGGTAAAGAGAGTCCTTAGTGCTCTGTCGAATGGAGCCCTGGTTCCGAACCATCCGGCCGACAATTACACGATTTACCGCCCTTTCAAGGTTCTCCAATGGCTTGAGCCCAAGATCCGCAAAAGATTGTCGGAGATCCAGGAACTCTGTCTTAGCTCCAAAGACAGAGACGTAGAGATTAAACATCCAAATGTGTCGACTGAAGCCGAAGTCAGTGAAGAAATCGAAACGAAGGATGCAAAGCCAGCAATAACAAGAGAAACGAGAGACAACATCATATTCAGTTCGGCGTACGATTGGAAATCTTTAACCCAAGATGAACTGCAAGAAGCATCTGATGACCTAGGCACTCTTGTGTCTTGCATTGATGAGTACATTCTTCCCTTAGGGAAAGCAGTTGAGGGATCAGGCGATGTCCGGGTCCACTACCAAGAACTATGGCATGTATTCAAACCGGGGAGTATCGTCTATGTCAAAGATCCAGCAATTCCCCAGAAGCTGTGGCGTGTGGTTCAAGGCAAAGGAGGTCAAACACCACAATACCGGCAACCTGCGACTCAAGCCACTAATTTACAGCTTGGAGGTGCTTTGAACGACTCGAGGCCTCTCCCTTTTGTGATAGAATGCTATCACATAGACTTCGATGGCGTCCAGTTCATCCGCGTCTTCAAGAACTTTAAGTTCGAGATGCTCAGAGATCTGACCAGTATTCGTTCCCTTCCGATCATTCCCTTGAGAATCGCAGAGCGAGATGGCTTTGTTGACATATCAGGCTGCAAGGAAAAAGGACAAGATTTCACATCCTACACAAAATGGTCCTACAGTTATTACCGAGGTCAAAGTCTGATACACGAACCTGAGGGAACTATTCTACGCCGTCCTGAGAAGGGGGCGATCACTTCTGCTGTGATGATTTCGGAGGCTATTGAAAGCCCAGTGGTTGTGGATTTCCATCGTTGCCTACAAGAAGTTCCAAGTTGGAAGCCCGGAAGATCGTCCAGAGGCAGTTGGGGCTTGGCCGAGGTTACTGAAGAAAAGAAAGCATCGCCACCATATTCTTCCCCCCCTCCAATCATTCCCCCAGGAGTAGACGATGATCGAGTATGGGATGCTCGAATCGCGGAGGAAGTTCTCGAATACACCGATCAATCTCAGCCCGTAGAGGTTTACGGCCGAGAGTCTCCTGAAGGAGATGAGATCCTCCTGCTTCCTAACAGAGTTTTTGCTTTTGTTCTACGTACACGTCAGTGGGGTAAGTAAATGGACATTCTTTCAGCAAGAAGTAATTTGATTTCGCTGACATATGGAATCTAGCTTGTATTCCTCTCGGATCTGGCTCACTTGATACCCAGGGACATAGCCTCACTAGAATGGGAGAAGACAAGAAGGCATGGGACTACCTTCAGATAGACGACAGTCACAGAACCATAATCAAGTCTTTGATGGCAACTCATTTTCGCAAGAAGAAGTCTGAGCGGCGTCAATTTGATATCATCCAAGACAAAGGTATTATCATGAATGGTGGACGTTTTTTCTGAAAGACCTTAAAGACTGACAATATTCAGGGAAGGGTCTCATCGTACTATTGCACGGAGTTCCTGGGGTGGGCAAAACTTCAACTGCTGGTCAGTATTATTCTCAACTCTATGTTGGCAATTTGAATGTATACTAACAGTATGGATCGTAGAAACCGTCGCAGCCTACTACAACAAGCCATTGTTGCCTATCACTTGCGGTGCGTACCATACTGCGAAGTATGGCTTTATCAGAACAAGGCTCTGACTCATAAACAGGTGACTTGGGGATGACTCCAACCGAGGTGGAATCCAATCTTCAGAATGCATTCCAGATGGCCCAAGCCTGGGATTGCGTTTTGCTCTTAGACGAAGCTGACGTCTTCCTGGCCGAAAGAAGCCAGGACAACATTGAGCGAAACGCATTAGTATCTGGTACGTTTGAAGCGGTATCTAGCTCCCATGTTTGTGCTGATTCTTGAATACAGTCTTCCTTCGCGTGATGGAATACTACGAAGGAATTCTCTTTCTCACGACCAACAAGGTTGGCTCCTTTGACGAAGCCTTCAAGTCCCGCATGTCCATGGCCTTGTACTATCCACCCCTCACCCACGAGCAGACCAAGAAGATATGGGAAGTGCAAATGGATCGTACGGAGAAACTCTCAATCGCAGCTGCGCCGATGGACCCGTCGCAACACGTAACATTCAAGCGCGATGAGATCGTAGCTCTTTCTACGACTCTTTGGAACTTGCAAACTCTCAGGGATGACCACAAGCCAGTTTGGAACGGAAGACAAATCAGAAACGCCTTCCAAACGGCCGTGGCGCTGGCCGAATTCCATCAGCAGGAGAACAATATCCCGGGGCCCATCGTTGTGAAGGGTGAGCATTTTGAGAAGGTGGCCAAGGTGTCCCATGAGTTCAACGCGTATCTCTACTCGGTGAGGCACGAGCGCCTGGAGAACGAACTTGCCCATAAGAAAGAGCATCGCTACGACGACTTCAACCGGAATCAACTTGGCTTCGGTGGACAAGGGCTTGGAGTGCCTCAGCAGGGAGGGTTTCAGCAGGGTTTTGGGATGCCCGGAGGCTTCCAGAATCTGCATCAGTTAGGTATGATGGGAATGGGCATGCCGAACATGGGAATGGCTGGGTCTGGATTCAATAATCTGCAAAATCAGGGTAATGCCATGGCCTCACAGTCCCCGCAGGCCGGCTTCGGTAACATGAACAACGTTGGCATGGGCATGGACAACATCAACATGGGCATGGGTAACGCTGGTCTCGGCAACGTTGGTCTGGGGAGTGCTGGGAGCGGCGGCTCGAACACAGCCATGGGTGCACAACAAAGTAATACCAACAACGTAGGTATTCCTGGCCAAACTTTGGGGGGACAAATGACTCCCCAACAACAGCAGCAGCTCCAAGAACTTCTTCGGCTCCAGCAACAACAGCAGCAGTAGAGGCAGCAGTACAGCAGCAGTAGCGTTCCCAGTAGTCATAATCTCTTATGTCATTAGTTTCCTTAATTCTCATGGCTACTTGTACTCGTGATAAATACATCGATGTGACAGATGCCTTGGTAACTTAGAGCCACTCCAAGATGATGCTGTCATACAAGAAACCTCTCCACTGAGTGTAACGAGTAACAGTGAAGCCCACAGTATTCTGCCCAGCCTTGAGGACGTCGGTATCAATCTTGTACTGGAAGAACCGCCACTCGCCGCTCACCTTGCCAGACCGGTATAGAGCAGGATCGCTAGTCAACGTGTCCTTGCTCAGGGAGCCGTAAACCTGCCCGTTGACGTCAATGTCCAAAGCCGCGCTCTGCGAGTACCCAGCCAGCGACACGCTGAGCAACGCAGTCTTGTTGGCAGCGAGGTCCGCCGAGGGAATGTCAAACTCGATCGTCCACTTTCCGATGGCGGACTGCGCAAAGTACCAATCCTCGTTCTGGGACTTGCCGACGGTGAAGGTCAGGTTTGCGGGGCTCTGCGCCGCCACGCCGTGCTGGTAGGGCACGCCGCCGTTCTTGAAACCGTTGGCCTTCTTGTCGAACTCGCCGATCTGGAAGATTTGCTTGCTCTTGGGGACGGTCCACGAGAGCTCGCCGAGGTTCAGTGTCTTGTCCTTCGTAATGGTCAGGGGCGCAGTGAAGTTTGTGTAGACGTCAGCCAGCTTGCCACCGTCGGAGGTGGCGTAGACGGCGTACCCGCCAGTGCGAACATTGTCGAAGGAGAATCGACCCTTGTCGTTGGTGTACGTCGTGTAGTAGTAGTTCTTGCCCTGAATCGAGGGGCGGATGGTCGTGTCGGTGTCACCGAGGAAGACAGCAGCGCCAGAGGCGGGACGGCCGTCGGAGAGGACCAGAGTTCCCTGGACTCCGCCACGAGAGTGGTAGGCTGTGTCCTTGAACCATGTGTAAGGGACGTGTTTGACTTCCTCCTCGTGCTTTTGCGCGGCGTCCGCTACGTCTCCGTTGTTCTTTGCGTGCAAGTGTTAGCGATATTGGGACACCGACTTTTGCGAGATCAAGGTGTTCTTACGAGATACCACAACCAAGGTCCCCAGACCTTGCCTGCTGGCTGAGGCACTGTCTTGCCAACACGGAAGTGAGAAGTGTCCTGAACGACATTGAGCTGGACTGCATCTCCAGTCTTTGACTCTCGGTGGACCTAGTCATCAGGTCAGAAATTTGCCCACGAGATTGCAGGAGTCACCTAATAACTCACCGTCAAAGTTTGGCTCAGGTGGTCGCTGTTGTAGTACTCCGTCGTAGGATGGATGTACCACGACCCGGCTTTGGGGCCGTAGACGCCGTAGAAGTCACGATCCCTGACAGCATTGGACCAGTCGTACTTTGTGATGAAGGACCCATCGGCCAGTTGCCAGGTCTCATCCTGTACATTGGTCGCGGTGGCGTAGAGCGAAAAGTCAGGCAGGGGCTCATCTTTGAGATGCGTGCGACCGTTGAGGAAGACGTCGGGGGCCAACCTCCACAAAGTCCGGAGAATGCTAACGTCGGGGAGGGCCCGGTTGACAAAGTACTGGTACGCGCCGGTCAAGTCGTCAAAGATTACCCAGTGGAAGTCACCGGCAGCGGCGAAGAAGCTGACATCGATGTAGTCCGTACCGCGGGATGCGATTGTGGCGTTTGTGAACTGGAGATTGTTCTCCCCATCTTGTTTTGCAATATGTCAGTCAGCACAGCTTCATCAAGTAAAGTTGCGATGAGATGGTCGTCTTACCGTAGCCGACGTAGTGGCCGGCAGCCGAACCCACAAGATCGGCGCCCGGGACACCCTCCCAGAAAAGCTTGGTTGCGTAGAGCGAACCCTGTGTCAGGTTCCAGTGATCATTTCCAATGACCCAGGTCGAGTCATTAATCTGCTCGAGAAAGGGACCCTTCCCGGCACTGGCCAATTTGCCGGCCAAAGCCAACACGGACAGCCGAGAGAAGTGCATGATCTTGAAGCCTTGAAAGTTGTCTTTGGGGCAGGTTCTCAAGCTGGAGGCAGGTTGCAACGAGCGACTTGACTAAAGGTCGTCGGTTCGAGGTTCCGAATGGCTACATGGCTTTACATCTTATACTCGGCAAGTCAAACTCTGATATCAGACGGTCAATTGAAGCTTTCTCTCTTCGGCAGGAGCCGACAGCGTCATGCGGGAGTTGTATTGTCAATGGGGTCCTCAGTGGAGAGAATTGCCGATTGACGCATCGAAACCTGACAATTCGTGATAAGGCGTTGACACTGTAGACTCACGCAGCAAAGCATAGCTAGAACACAGTGTTTCCAGTCCCTTGGGAAACTTGACGTTGTCAAAACAAGGCCGAATCTCCGCGATGCCCATGTCAAGATGTCAGTCTAAACCAATGACACCATCCGGGCTCTATCAGTGGTTGGTGGCGCTTATGAAAACCGTTGCGATGAACGCCATTGATGCACATCTTGCACCATCGGTTCCCACTCTTTCGGCATTTCTTCCGAAGAAACATTCTACGCCAGCCACCTAATTGAAAGACAATCGATTCCTCCACCAATTGGCAACATGTTCAAGAAACAGACGCGATACTAGGTTTTCGAACTTTGTGACCTATCGTTAGTGTGTATTTTTTTGCAAGAGGTTCGTTCGACTTGAACTTTGCTGATCTCAACAACGAACATTGCGCGGCCGTGACGCACGCGCTGTTTTTCTTGCTGATACTGGCTACAGCGCATTAAACCTTAGACTCCGAGGGCCGACTCTTGGAGTCTTGAATCGGGAATCTGAAGTTACGTTTGCACTTTGGCCCCTCGGCATTTGATCGAAGTGGTTTGTCCAAACATTAGAAAAAGATCGAACTCTGTTCGATAGTCAATTAACAGAGAAGGAGTGCTAAGTTTCAAGTTTTCTTTCCCTTGTTCTTCCCCTGTGCGTTCATTCTGTGAATAGTCTGTCTTTAGAGAGCACTAAACAGCAGTACACATTTGCCGTCTCTGTCCTTTTTTTACCTTCAACAAAAAGACACAAATACAAGATGTCTCTACTACGATTTGGTGCATGGTCCAGTTTCAGTAATAAGTGCATCATTCCAGTCAAGCGATACTGGTGATGAACACTTGCAGTTTCCATAGCCATTAACCTAGCCAAGGCCGTACTCTCCTTATTGGCTGTACACTAGATTTTACAACCAATTTTCGCTTATGCCTGAGCAAGTTCAATCATACAAATGAGAGTCACGAATTTAGTCTAGGACAATTGAAAACTTGTGGCATCAATTAGGTAACTTCATCGACAACTCAACATGTATGCTGAGTATTCCATTCCGATGCGCGCACTCCCTCGCACCCCTTCTTGAAGCCATGAGGTATCCTGATCATTGCATGTACTCCACGTTCTGCCTGAGCATGAGCAACAAACTAATTCTTCTATCGACGGTGTAGATTGAGCTAGAATCGGCAATTGTCTCTTACTTATTGGCAGCCTGAGTCCGAGAGTGCCATTACTATTCACGCGCGCCTGCTGAATCAGTTCACTACATGTACGTATACACAAAATCAGAACATGGCCCTTCAAACGGAAATCTCCATTTTGAGAATTCATCGAGTCTGCTGTGGCAATTGTTCAAATTCGTGTTCAACCTCCCTATGACTCAAGCCAACTCAACACGAGTTGACGCTGGATGAATTGCATCTGTTGAGATGACTCGTGGGCCTCGCTGACGTCCGAGTTAATTATCTACTTGTCTACTTCAAGGGTCGGAGGTCCTTTTATCCCATCCATATTGCATATCAATATGGGGAAATCAATTCTTTTAGCAATCGCGTGGTTCTGTCGTCACTGCCCACCAAACCCTTCAAGTCTGCCGTCAACCACTACCGGAAAATGATGATCAGCGATCTGGAGCTCTGCTCGCAAACCCGCCAAATGTCGAAATTCTGCCCGTTGAGCCTGCAGATGAGCGTTGGAGCCCTCCCCCAGCTTGGTGCAGAACTACTCCCACGATCACCACACCCACCCAAAATCGTACATCAGCAGAACGGATAGGCCAACCTACGAAAAATGGCTTGGCGGCAGTCAAATTGACTTTGCGCGTGCAGTGCGAGTTGAACTTTAAAAACACCACTGACTCTGGAGTTGCCAGTGCGCAACAGAGTTCGACAACTGCCCCAGACGTGCGCTCTAGAGAGTGGAGATGGTTTATCAGCAGAAACTTTCGGATTGTGGGAACGCAGCACCCCGGTTAATTTTGTTATAGCACTGTCTGTTATCGCCTTCAGCAAAGAGGGCTACCTCGCGCTGGCGTAGCATTGTAAGAGAACCTTAAAACACAAAATCGAAAGCGTCCGATCCAAGCGCATGCAGATCGCTGTAGCTTCCAAAGAAGTTGATCTCAGGATATACGTGTTGTATAGTCGATTGACAAGTAATCCGTAGACGGATATAGTCCATTCAATGATTTAATCTGATATTGACAACTATCGGGTTGCGGCCGTCCGATTGCTCGAGATTCTTCTTGGCGGTCTTGGCAAATGTCTTTAAAGGCTTCGATGAAACAATATCTACGGAGCACTCCTGCCTCATTTGCGAGGAGCTGTCAGGGTGCATGACTTTTTTATGAAATCCATGCAACGATCAAAAAGCTCTCTCGTCCGTACTTCCCGACCAAGGCAAACGGCGGTAGTATTCAGGATAAACTCCGGTCTTCGTGCGTCAACTGACGAATTTCAATCTCGTTCACTTCTTTGCCATATTAACTAATTTGTCTCCTCGACAGCTCATGCATTGTCGCCTTTCAAACATCGCCAAGGTGGAGGCAAGACTGGACGAACAGGGGAATTACGTGGACCAAAACAGCTCTCGGCCGGGAACCCCCGGAAACAATCCGCCTCGTCGCTCGTCTCCCATCGGCGCGGCTGAGCAGCACCTCAACTAGAGACCATACTTCATTCTCCTGCCTCGGCACCTCACCGACATGTTA